TACCCTGGAAAAGACGAACCTAATCCATGACTGAAAGCAAAGCAGGAGTCGCCTCAGGGCAGGGGTGGGCAGGGGGGCGACGGGGCAGAGCCCAGGGGGATATGTTGGGGTTGGGGGGACAGTGACATTTCGTGTCCTAACTGTGGTGGTGGGCACCTGCGGTACACACATTTGTGGAAACTCATTCTGCTGTCCGCCTCAAACGGATGCATTTTTCTACATGTTAATTATACTTCCATGAAGATGGTTTGAAGTTTAAAAACTACTGAAGCGTGAAGTTTAAATGCCGAACCCACAAAAAATTGCCCCCCTTCCCGGTTATTATTATTTGTTAACTCCAGAGCCAAACAGATGTCCACCTGTCTACACCAGAGAATTTATTGGGGGACTTTTCTCACCGGGAAAACACTGCGACAGCCCAGAGCCTGTCTCCTGAGGTTTTCTTTCCTCCTGCCTTTCCCAGATTTCTCCCTGAAGGCCAATTCCACCGAAGTGACCCTCAAAAACCCCAGTCCCTCGATTCTTCGGCAAGAAGACACCCTTCTGAAAATGCACACGGCTCGGCAGGAAGTGGGTGCTGAGTTCCGCTGAGCACCTGCTGCCCTCAGAGAGGTCGACGCGCTGAATGTTCTGTGGTTGGTTTCAATGGCCTCACTATGCGAAAGTGAGAAAAAGCAAGGAGGTGGGAGAAGCCGGATGAAGTAGGCAAGGTGGGGGGGGCCTGCGTCCCAAGCCCGAGAGAAAGAGGAGCCCGGGAGAGACAGCCTCGGCTTCCGCTGTGTCCCCTCAGGGCCTGGGAGGAGGCCGGGGGATTGCTCCGGCTCTGCGGGCAGCTATATATAGGAGACAGGCTGGCGGAGGCTGTGTTGGTGGAGGGGATGGAAATGAACTTGGAATAGCTGGACGCTGCTGGCTGGCCTGGGTTGAGAACTCCCTGAGGTCAAGAGACTTCTGGTGTGAGCCCAGAGAAGGACTTTCCACTGGGCGGCGTGTGTTCTGCCCCGAGCCACGTCACACAAGGTGACACTCTATGTTTGGCAGGGTGGAGGCCATCGTCTCGGGCGCGGCCTGGGCGAAGCCCCAGGAAGGCCGGGCTTTGGCTCAGGAGACGGCTGTTCCGTCCCCAGCCCGGGAAGAGAGCAAACCAGAGGTGACTTCTTCAGGGTCCCCTGAACACCCACCCTACATCTTCCGGGGCAGCCCCCTCTGGGGCTGGGTGAGGACATCCGGAAGATGGGGGTCTGCGTGTTTTGTTTCTCACAGAGGCAGCACTGCCATGTGGGATACATCTCTAAGGTAGCGTGGGGGCTATTTAGGGCTTTCCCTCGTAACTTGCAAATTTATACCCTAAAATAATCATACTGGAGAAATTCCGGGGGCGCCTGGGGGGCTCAGCTGGTTGAGCGTCCAACTCTTGATTTCGGCTCAGGTCATGACCTCACAGCTATGAGATCGAGGCCCGTGTGGGGCTCCATGCCAAGCATGGAGCCTGCTTGAGATTCTCTCTCTCCCTCTGCCCCTCTCGCCTGCTGTGCTGTCTCTCTCTCTAAAATAAAAAAGGAAAATCTAGGGGTGCTTGGGCAGTTCAGTGGTCAAGCATCCAACTTTGGCCTAGGTCATGATCTTGCTGTTCCCAAGTTCGAGCCCTGCATTGGGCTCTGTGCTAACAGCTCGGAGCCTGGAACCTGCTTTGGATTCTGTGTCTCCCTCTCTCTCTGCCCCTCCCCTGCTCATACTCTGTCTCTCTCAAAAATGAATAAGCATTAAAAAATTTTTTAAAGTAATTCCAGATAACAATACTTTAAATAGGAAACATTTATTTCTCTTCATATAATAGAAAAATGCAGTTATACAACCGAGGGGGGCTAAGATACCCCTTGATGTCAAAATGCTTGATGTCAAGCTGTTGCTTCTTTGCCATTCTTTGCACCAGGGTCCCTCCTCAAGATTCATAATGATTGCTTAAGCTCCAGCCATCAAATCCTTATTCCAGCCAGCAAGAAGGAAGGGACAGATATTTCCTTTAAAGATATTTCCTGAAAATGACAAATAATTCTTCTGCTTGAATCTCATTGGCTAGTAAATCACTGGGCCACACCTGGCTGCAAGAGAGGCTGGGAAAGGCAGTCTTTATCTCAGTGGCCACACACCAGCTAAAAATGTGGACCCCTCATCCTGGTGGAAGTGACTTCTGAGGCAACGTCATAAAAGGGCTCAGATTCCACTGGGCTCTCTCTGGAAACCAGCCGCCATGCTGTAGGGAGTCCCAAGCAGCCACATGGAGAGACCACGTATCAAGTGACAGTCCCAACCGTGGCCAATAAGGAGCATCGACTTACAGATGTGTGAGTGAGTGAGACTTCAGGTTATTTCAAACCTGAGCCATCAAGGTACCTCTGCCCTTCACGTCTTCCCAGCAGGAGCCCCAGACACCGTGGAACAGAGGGAAGCCCTCCTCCCTTTCACTCCTGGGGCCACTAACATGCAGCCAAGAAAGCGGCACAGAGGGCTATAGAATTTGGACATTATTCTGCAAGTGGCAGAGAGAGCCCAGAAGAGTTTTACCCCCCACCCTTCAGCCCCCCCAACCGCCTGCCTCTGGCTCCTCCCCCTCTCCTGCCCCAGAGGACCAGCTGCTGATCTGATCACAAGCACTGACCCAGCTAACATGCAGTTCTAAGCCAATTCCTCCTCCGCTACCGTGTCATGTGCCCCTGGGGCACCCGTGCACAGAAGAAGTGTGCTCCAGGCCGTGACCCAACGCTCCTGGTCTATTCCACGCAGCAGCACAAAAGTCTCCCCTTATTGTCAGGGGATGTGGTCGGGTGTGTTCTGCACGCACATCTCTGGCATAAAGAATTAAGTTACTGATCTTATGGAGGACAGTGGAGGAGGGAGGCGAGCTTAGAGGCGGGGGCACGATTAACAGGCTCTTGCCATTTGCAGATGGGGGATTCAGTGCTTCCAAGCATGTGCAGGGTTAGAAAGGCGAGAAAGGAGCTTTGGGAAAATATTTAGGAGGTAAAATTGGCAGGGCTTGGGTATCAGCTGGATGGGGGTGGGGTGGGGGGAAGGTAGGAGCTCGGGATGATTCTGACATTTCCGGCTTGGGGAGCAGCTGGTGACACCATAAACTATAGTTTGGACAGATGGATGTTTGTTTGGGGACATGTCAAGTTGTGACCAGAGACAGCCAGGTGGAGGCGGCTAGTGGATGTGGGTGCGTGTGAGTTTGGGGGGTGGGATTCTTCATCAGATGTCAGGATGCTGGCCAGAGCATTCACGTCATTGTGTACCGGATGCATTAAAGGTTTGAAGAAACCTAAGTGCTGCTCTCTAGGGGCTCAGCTCATCCCAAGGCCATGAGCAGAAGCAGGAAGGTCCAGAGGTCGGGTGGGGATGGATAACACAGGCTGCCCTTGACTGACAATGGCAGATTGATTGCAGAACTGATTCTGCACCTCTCCCTTCCCCTGCCCCCTTGGCAAAGTGACCTTGCAGCCTCCCCTCTCATGATACGGAGTCCTTTTCCTCCCTCCTTGATTGGAGCTCAGACACGTGATTTGTTTTCAGCACTGGGATGTGGTAGAAGTGGTGCTATTAGCCTCTGGAGGAGGACAGACCATATGGAACCCAGCCGACTGATTACAGCTGAGACCAAGTTCAGCCAGCCAGCCCCCAGCTGACTCACCAGCTGCCCGCGGGTACACAGAGGTCAGCTAAGCCCAGCTCATATCAGCAGAACTACCCAGCTGAGCCACAGACTCGTGAGTAAGAGTAAGTGGCTTCTCCAAACCACTACATTTGGAACGGTTTGTTACGCAGCACGTGTAACTGATACACTGACCCTGGGAAATAAGTAAGGGGAGGTCTGTATCATATAGTTTGTTTACTCAGAAATGGTATACAGCAAAAGAATATGCTAGGTATGTGCCGAGGAAGTAATCACCCTGTCCCCTCTGTCCCCAGAACTTAGGTGGTTCACAGCACGGTTTGTAGGCCAGATACTTCTTTGTAGGTGGGGGGGGGGGACTGCCCTGTGCACTGGGGGGTGTTTAGCAGCATTGCTGGCCTCCGCCTGCCCGATGCTAGTACATCCTCCTTCCCCGGTGTGACAAACAAAAATGTCTCCAAACATTGACAAATGTCCCCCGGGGAGTGAAAACTCACCCTCAGATGTAAACCATTGGGCTGCAGAATTCCAGAAAAAATGTAAGGCCGGCCCTCACAGAACAAACTGGCAGACAAAGGCACTGAAATAGTTGGCCAATGTGGCTGCTACAAGAGCATCATTGATTCACTCACTCATTCTTGCGTTCATAAGCAACGGCTGCAGGCCTGCTACCCACTGGCCACTGCAGTAGGTGCTGGAGGCCCAGGCCCTGTCCCAGAGAACTCATAATCCAGTGGCACGCAAAGTAGTGTGAGCCCTGGGACATCAGGGAAGAGACACTGAAGATTAGCACAGATTGAGATTAATAAGCAGATGAGTGGGAGGCAGTCAAGGGCAACTTCCTGGAGGAGGTGGCTTCTCCACTGACATTGAAGAGCTGACTCAGACTTCTTTAGGGTGAAACACAAGTGTTTGGGGCATACGGGAAGTCAGAACACATGACAGGCTCTGCAGATAATTGGGCATCACTGGTGTGGGGGGTGAAGCGAGCAGACTGGACCTGACGTCTTAAAGGAAATACAACCCACTCCCCGCGGCAGTCGCGATTCTCCAACTGCTCCCGGCCACACATCACTTCCCGCGAATCTGCCACGAGACAGAAAGCAGACACAGGCATCCAAGTCTCTACCACGGTGCCGGAGCCAGGCCTGGGGACGCTGTGCCCAGCCAGCAGGGTTCAGGGAGAGGACTGAGGGGAAAACAAGGCTTCACTGTGGGGCCTGCCGCGTGGGACGGCCCGGCCCGGCCCCTCCTAAGGGCGGGCACACAGCTGCATCGAGAAGACGTGAAAAGCAACATTGTGGACAGGCTGGGCAGGAGGGGGCTCTGAGCGCCTCACACTCCTGCCTTCATACTCCCTTGATCCGAAAGAATCTTTGTGCCAAAGGACAGAACCCGAGAGCCTTCCCCCCAGCCTCTATCTCAGGTAAACGGAAATACCATTCACTCTGCAAATATTGACCAAGGGCTTGCGTGCACAAGGCCCTCTGTGAGGTGGGGCTGAGAATGCCATCTCAAGGTTTATTGGGAGGCGGGCTGATAGGGCAGGCTTAACAGAAACTTCCAGAAAATATTCATCGTGTATTTGCCGTGTGCCAGGACACGATGCATACGATGTGGAACAGGGCAGAGCGGTTTCCCGCTGTCACCGTGCTTACCCTCCAGCGAGGGGACAGAGACTGGACCGGCACATCAACACACAAGGTCGTGTCGGGCTGGAAGTACTTCTCAGGAGACAGTGAAATGAGACCCTGAGAGAGAAGGCATGCAGACCGGGTGGGATGGCCACGGGCAGTGTCTCCGGATGACAGGGGCGCTGGGACCCAGCGGATTTACTTGTTTGTTCAACCTGTTCATGGGGCACCGCCCAGGCGCCAGGCGCCGGGCATATCAATGAATGAAATCGATAAAGATCCCTGTGTCATGAGGCCAATATCCTGGGAGTGAGGGGAACAGAGAAAACAGCAATTATCTGACAAAGAAATTACATGAAACATTGGAAGGTGATGAAATGCAATAGAAACGAGAATACGTGGGGCAGGAAGAGAGGGGGCCAAGCCTTGAGGGGAGGGTGGAGGCGAGTCAGGGTGAGCCTGCCAGTGGCACTGGAGCACAGGCAGAAAAGAAGGAGCCGCGCAGGCGGAAGTGTGTCCCAGGCGAGCCCAGGCAACTCTCAGAAACCATGACACATAATAACAAATTGTTGCTTTCAGCCACGGAGCCGGGGATGCTCGTTACACAGCAGCGGATGTCAGGAGAGCCACACTAAGCCCACCAGCCGGCCCAGAATCTTCTCCACGCCAGGCCCTCCACCGAGTGAGCCCCTGATAATCTCAGGTCAGATTCCCTTGACTCCTTTTACGTCCCTCCTGACCCGCTGAAGTGTCTCCTTCCCACGCCCACGTTCCTGGCCGTGTCGGGGTGCGGACGCCACGCCTCTGAAACCCTAGACCCCAGCATCCGCCCGCTGACCGTGGTCTTCGGTCCTGTTCCCACTGCTTCAGCTTCTTCCTCCGTGGGCCTCTCATCTGCCCACTCAGAGACCCTCCGAGCCCCATCCTCCTCACGTCTCCCCTGGGATATTGTGGGAACCCCCCTCTCTGTCTGATCCCTTGCAGTCCAGCTGCGAACACGCTGTTCCTGAGCACGAACGTGGGTGTCTGAAGATGTACAAGCACCAGTGTGTCCCTGTGGCCCCTTGTGAGGGGTCTTCCCACCATTCCCACCCTCTCCTCCTCCCCTTCCCCACACGGCTGTGGTTACTCTGAAGACACGTGGGTCCCCGGGTGTGTCAGGCTTCCCCGCCGCGTCTCACATTTGTACAAATTGGCCCCTTGTCTAGTTCCCTCCCCCGCTACTTTGTCGTGGGGTGCGTGCCTGCCTCTCAGCAAATATCACCTTTGCTGGGAAGTCTTTTCTGGTATCACCAAGCAGCCTTAGAATCCCCTAATCAGAGTTGTCAATGCATCTGCATTATAGTACTGGTCATATTGATTTGCCCTTGCTCTTTACTTGTGGGTCTCCCCTATTACGCAGACTGTGAGCATCCTGAGGGCAAAGCTACTTCTCTCAGCCATCCAGACCCTGATGCAACATCCAACATAGCATAACAACTTACCTAAATGAAAGGTCAGCAAACTATGAGCCACGGGCCAAACCCAGCCTGACCCCTGCCTATTTCGTATGGTGCATGGTACATTTTATGGATGAACATATGCAATCGACTTGATGCCAGGGAGCACTAATTTTGAACTCCAGTTCAGCAAAACGTTATCGCTCCCTCCCCAGAAGAATTCCATTCTTCTCATGAGTCGACTTGTATTTTATAGAACACTGTGCTCAATCGTTATTATTATGTTTTGAATCTTATCAATAAAACTTTGATAGACAATTGTTCTATCTCCTGTCCGTGAGAGTCCGCTTATTAGCTGGCCCTTCACTGACCGAGTTTGCGAGCTGGGTGGAGACCGAAATTTTCAAGTGCTGCCTTGACACCTTGGAGCCTCACAGGTCTGACCTGTAAGCCCCTTGCTCTCTCCAGACGTTCTCCCCACACAGGGGGAAAGCCCCCCACCCAGACCAGTGGCTGTCACCTCCCTGCTGGCCTCTGTGCTCCTCCTCCCGTGGGAACCGCGGGTCACCCACCCTCCCGTTACAGAAAGCCCGCCTCCCACAGCCCCGGGAGGCTCACTCCACTGTGGAGCGTAAGCCTGGTGCGGCCCTGAGTGGTGTGCAGTGTCCCCCCCACAGGCTAGGAGCACGCATGTGGGCGGGGCGGGGGAGTGGGTGCCACTAGAGTGCCACGAACGTCTTCTGTCCAGTGGTGTGTTCAGAGTTGCGTGCTTGGCCATACTGTTCAGGGCGGGGGACCCTCCTTTGCCAACGGGGTGGAAAAGAAGCGATCAGAACCCTGACCCCTCATCTGATGAACGGATGCATTTGCTGGGTTCTGGAACGCGTTCAATTTCCCCGTGCCCCCCACCCCATCCCTACCCATGCACCCCCCTCCACCCTGCGCCCCTCCCTTCCCACCAGGCACACACCACCTCTCCTCTGTGCTCTCTCTGTCTGGAAGGTAAACCACTGCATCCTGCCAAGCACACTCTTAAAATCTTCTTGAAAGCTCAGCCCAGCCCCTCCCTGGCCCAGACCCCTTGATCCAAGAAACAGAAGTGACTTTCTGAGCGTTTTGAGGTTGGAAGTATTTGACGGCTGGTCTGTCTAAACACTGCATCAATAACCTTCATGTGCTTATGAAAAGCCCAGTATGTGAAGGTGGGGTGCGGGTGCGTTTTTAAGGCAAGGCTGCCAGCTTCCTTCTTACTGGGAGCCTGACGGGTTTACAGGACACCTGAGAAAACGAAGTAGGCGCTATGCCTGTGGCGTGTTGATAAAGCGATCCGGAGGGGAAAAAATCCCCGAATGTGCCTCGGTCCTGGGACAGAACATTGGACCTTTGTGTTTCTTTACAGCCAGCAGCCAACTCAAAAGCAACAAACAGAAACCTCTCTCCGCCTTCGCTGAGCCCGAGAAAACCCCAGTCGGCCACCGTGTTGATTCTGGAGCAGATGCTGAAGGGACCGTTGTCTGGAACTTCGGTTAATGTGGGCACTTATCAAGCATCTTCCACCGCCTCCCTGGCTCTGCAGGCCGGAGAGGGGGAAGGCGGGCTGTGCGTGTGTGTGGATACAGCCCTTCAAGGAGAAAAGTCCTGAATCCGTCTGAATCATGGGGACAGAATCCTAGACACTTGGGGCCCTGCAGGGGTGGGTGGGTGGAGGGGAGGCAGGAGAGGTGGGGGGAATCTCTACTCTTGTGTTCCAACACGTCTCCCAGAGGAAGAGCCGGGCTCCTGTCCCCATGTGGCAGGTAGCCATTAGGGTTGACCAGGTGGCCCTGTAAGGTTCTGGTGGAGAGAGGCCTGGAGGTGGCACCCACATGGTCGGCTGGGGCCAGACAGCAAAGGGGTGAGCACCGTGTAGGGAGCATGGGCGGGGGCCTCTGAGGAGAGAGGCAGCAAGGACCGGATGGTAAATTATTCAGTGTCCGCGGTTCCCTTCCCCCGGTGTGCGTGTCCCTTTGCAGTGTGACGTTGTCATCCCTCCCTTCCGGAGGCAGAGTCTATTTGTCCCCCGCCTTGGGCCTGGCCTGGACCCGTGACTTGCCTGGATCAGTGGGATCGGGAAGAAACGACAGCACATTGCAGCCTAGGCTGTAAGAGTCTTTGAAGCCGCCTGTCCCCCGGGAAGGCCACTGCCATGCAAGGAAGCCAGTCTAGGCGGCTGGAAGATGGGGGGCCGCGCAGGACAGCCAAGGCCAGTGCCGGCTCCTGTGAGACCCGCGAGGGAGGCCATCTTGCGCCTCACAACACAGCAGAGCGTCCAGCTTGTGCACTCGAGTCGACCCCAGTGAGACCAGCAGAAGAGGCGCTGGCCAACCTGCCAAAGCAGGAGACGTTTGCTACTTTAAACCATTAGGTTTGGGGAGTGACCTGTCACCTGTCAGGTCCAGATGCCGATGCAGATGGATGGTCACAGGATGACAACTTGTCAGCCCAGCGCTGCCCAGCAGGTATGTAAGGTCAGCCACGTGTGGAATTCCAAGTCTTCTAGAACTCACATGAATGAAGGTAAAAAGAAACCGGTGAGATCCATTTTAATCATATATTCTATCGAACCCGACGGATCGAAAATACCTCCGATTTCAATATATGATCAATATGGAAAATATTATCAGGTATCTTACATTTTTTCTTCCTTGCTATGTCTCTGGAAGCCAGTGTGCGCTTCACACGTAAGGCACACGTTGGGCCCAAGTGAACACATTTTGATGGCTCGGTCATCTCCTGCGGCGAGTGGGCCACTATATTAGAAACCAGCTTCCACTCCAGAGGGTGACGGGGAAGTACAGACACCCCAGCCCACGGGACGAGGTGACAAGGTGGGGGCTCTGAGACGCTCGCACAGGGAGTGACAGGGCCACTGCCATGTCCGTCGGCACGGAGGAAGGGTCCAATGACACTCCAGAGATGTGATTCAGATGTGATGGGGGGGTGAGTGGGGGCTCCCCAAGAGAAATGTCCACTGAAGAGTCATAAATGTGACCTTATGTGGAAAAATCATCTTTGCAGACGTGAGTAAGTCAGGGATCTAGGATGCAGTGATTCTGGATTATTGGAACGGGGCCTAAATCCAATACTAAGTGTCCTTGTAAGAAGGAGGGGGGCACACGGAAGGGGCGGCTGCACGACGACGAAGGCAGAGGTGAGAATGACGTGGCCACGAGCCAGCAAACCCCCAGATCCACCAGCAGCTGGAGGCTATGAAGAACCCCGCAGACGCCTGGATTTTGGACTTCCGGCCTCAGCTGTGGGATAGCCCACGACTGCTGCTCCCAGCCACCGCATCCGTGGTAAGTGACGCAGCGGTCCCTGGGGAACTCACACACAGGCCTCCGCAATGTGGGTGCTTAGCAGGCCCCTGGTGTCAACAAGTGGGGGGCTGAGGAGCTGGGAGGGGCGAGGGCGCAGTTCGGCAGTGGAAGTAGGAGCAGCCAACGTGCAGCACACACGTGGTGTGCCACGCCCGGCTCTACACGCTTTTCTTTTTTATTTGCTCCTCTCATCCGCTCGACAGCCCTAGGGGAGGCAGCCGCTACTCCAATCTCCATTATACAGAAGAGGAAACTGAGGCACAGAAAGGGTACCTCGCACGAGGTCACACACATCTGGTGTTGGATGTGGATGGAGGAGCCTGGATTTGAACCGGGCTCTCTGACCACTGAAACGTCTCTTCCAAACGGGCTGAGCCAGGCCGTGCGCAGCCACGGGGAGGTTACGGGGACTGGGCCGGGGGAAGCACACCCCGGTCCTGCTCTGGGCTGCCTGCGGTAAAGGGCAGTTCTACCGACATTCACGCTGCAGTCCTCCTGGTGGATTACTGTCGTCGCCTCTCCTGCATCCGCTGGCTCAGAAGTCTTGGCTAAACGACCGGAAGCACCCCGGCTGGGCTGCCAGCAGGGCCCTGCCCCCAGGGAGCTCCCGCACTGCGAACGGGGCTGCATTTCCCATTTCCAGCATGCAGCCTGCTCCCCGGCGCGGCTCCCTCCAGGAAATCCTGTTTGTGCTATTTCAGGAAAATTGATGGCTTTTTTTTCTTCTGGGCCTTTCAGAAGCTTGACAGATGGTCCTGGATTTGCACGCTGTGTTTCCAGGGTGGCGCCTGAGACGCTCTCTCGATGATCCTTCCTACCGCGTCAGGCATTTCAACCAAATGTGTTGCCTCGACAAATATTTATTGGAAGCCTGCTGTATACAAAGTAGTGCGCTAGATGCTGCGAGACGGGTTAAAACATATTTCTCAGACACGTATTATGTTCTGGGGCACATGGGAGCCAGCAAGGTAGAAGGGGGGGCCGTGCCTTTCAGAGAGGGCGTGGGGCTCCCAAAAGAAACATATTTATGAGCTGCCCTGTGCCGGCTAACTCTCAGGACATTTTGATACAAGCAAGATTGGATTAAAAGAAACAACCATGGGGCGCCTGGGTGTCTCAGTAGGTTAAGTGTCTGACTTCGGCTCAGGTCATGATCTCGGTTTGTGGGTTCAAGCCCCGCATTCGGCTCTGTGCTGACAGCTCGGAGCCTGGAGCCTGCTTCAGATCCTGTGCCTTCCTCTCTGCGACCTTCCCTGCTCATGCTCTGTCTCTCTGTGTCTCCCAAAAATAAAAATAAACGTTAAAAAAAAAAAGATGATGAAAACCAACAAAAGTATTACGTGCAATTGAGCACAGAGGCTGCATGGATTTTGCCATGACAGTCACAAGAAAATATTAGGCAGTAAGACAGCTGGCTCTGGATCCCACAGGTGAGTCCCAGCTCTGCCTGTCCAGGTGTCCAGGTGGCTTCACATAAATAAATGTGCTCTCCGAGCCTCAGTTTTCCCATCTACAAAATGGGGGCAATAATGGCATCAGCCTCCTAGGGTAGGGATGAGGTTAAACGTAATGATGCATACGTCCCTGGCACCAAGGGTTACACCTGGACAGGCCGAGTGGTTAAAGGCAGCCTCTTTCTGGTGAATTCGATCTGCGATCCCACTTCCTTAGGGAGATCACACTTCAAGCAGAGCCATATTGTAGTCTAAAGGGAAAGGTTCCTAGCAGTATGGAGTAGATCGTAGCTTTTTTGGATTTGAAAATTAACAAGTGTCCTACCTCATGTCAAGTTAACAATTTGGACGAATTTAGGTGGAAGAGATAAGGAAGCAAGGCTGTGCCTGCTGTCCCCTGGCCCCCACATGCCCCACCCGTTTCTCAAAGCTGACTTCCTCCCTCCCTGCCTCACCTCTAGGCAGGCATCAGGAGAATCCAGAAGCTTCTTTGATCTTGAAGATCTCCTTTAAGGAAACCTTAAAAATTTTTCTTTAATTTTCTTAGGTTTATTTTTAAGGGCTACTCCCCAAAACATTAAAAAATCCTTTTACTATGAAAATTTGCAAGCATAGGGAAAGAAAAGTGGAAATATATCTACTACCAAGTTAACTTTTTGCCCCCCCTCCCCGCTAAACCATTTTAAAGTAAAGTGCAGATACCATGGCCGTCCAGCCCTCAGTACTTGGGCACACACCTCAGCACTTCTGCCACACATCTGCAGCTCCTCTCACATATGTAACTGGATAAATATAATTGCCTAATATCGTCTAACTTCCAGCCTATATTCAAATTTCCCCAGTCTCCCACAAATTATCCTCCCAAAGATTCTTTTTTAAGTTTATTTATTCTTGTTTGTTTTGAGAGAGAGAGAGAGAGCGAGCACAGGGGAAGGGGAGAGAGAGGAGAGAGAGAATCCCAAGCAGGCTCCACACTGTCAGCACAGAGCCCTACGTGGGGCTCGAACTCCCAAACCGTGAGATCACGACCTGAGCCGACACCAAGAGTCAGAGGCCTAATGCACGGAGCCAGCCAGCTGCCCCCCCCCAAGGGCTCTTAAGTGGGGCTTCTGTAAGCAGATGTAGCAGATGAGGCCCATCAACCACTGAGGCTGCCTGTGGACCCAGTTGTAGCCTGGGTAACAGAACCGTCCACAAGAGTTGACTTTGCAAACTAACGACAGGCCACACCACACGCCAGAGTCTGGGGGAGAGAGGAAGGGAATGATTCCGTTTTCACTCATAATTTCACTTTCTGGGAAACCCGTATCTCACATGGGCCGCGGCCCAGCCCACTGGCCACAAAACCAGGCCTCTTGGTTTCTGTTCTCCATCAGGAAGGCGGAGTCCACGCCGAGTGGTACTTTTCCCTGCCCTGTAAGAATCCCAACACAATTCTTTGGTTATTGACTTTCTTTTCTGTGGCCGAATTCCCCGGGTCCAACCCAGCCCCCTCTACCACTCCAAGCGGCCACGGCCCAAGCCCGGCTCAACCAAAGCCACACACTCAACACACACACATGCACGCGCAGACACACACACACGTGCGTGTGTGGACGAACACGTTAACATAGGCGCATGTTGAAAACACATGTGCACACGCTGAACACACAGGTCCTTTCCTCCAAGGACAAATGGAAAGAAACTCAAGCCCCCGGAATGAGCCTTCCCCACTTTCCCTGGGCTCCCCCAGCTCGACCCCCTCCCAGTGTTCGCCCAGCTTTTGATAAGCCCCCCGGCCCCCTCCCACCGTGAGGAAGGGGGCAGCTGCCGACAACTGCTTGTAAACAGGCTGCGCCGGCATCCCCAGCCCCGCGGGTGAAGGC